CATTTATAAAGTGCAGGAGTCACCAGCTGATCTTTCAGCTGTCACTGATGCTTCAATTCTCCTGTGCACTCCTGTGAAATAAATCCGTAGCTTCACGCTGCACATTGAAATACATACACTGACCTTTTTAAAATCTGTGCCAGGTGTTGTGGGGAGAAAAAATAGCTCATGGATTCCTTATGGTATTTTTCTAAATGCCATCATTTACATATGAGGTGAAAAAGATAAAAAAAAAATGTAAGTGTATGGAGAGCATAGCACTACATTACCCCACTTAGATCCCACCTAAAAAAAAACTGCGTCAATCAAATTTTGCCGTAAGGATCTCCAGCTCAGTGATTCCCAGCATTGCCTCAAAACCAATGATATTAAAGCAATGGCTACCTTGATATAAATGTATAAATGGCATCAATTAGGGGTATAAAGATGCATTAATCTGGATCAATGTATTGTTTTTAATAATCAGCAATCCAATATCATCAATGCTAGGCAAAATCATTAATACAAATAGAGCCTTTTTGGGTTTTGTAAACAGCTATGACATATTTTGTGGGCAGAGCCAAACTGTAGGCAGAGAGGGACAGTAGTGGTGTCAGTGTGAGCGTCAAATAAAACCTAAAAAGCACTTTAATGTTTATATTACTCAACTGACTGCAATGAGTCATTTTTATATTCAAGGGTTTATGATCTATCTGTAGTCGGAAAAAACTCCAGCTAATAAGAATCTTGATATTTAGGCTAATCACTGCAGCTCAATGCTCAGTAGAGAAGTGTGTGTTAGGCTAAAACGAACTGAATTTTTTACGTGGTGAAAGATAATATATCATCATTAAGAATTGTGAAAACACATCTGTCAAGAATGGATTTAACTTACTGTTCTTGATTGATAAGTGTAGAGACGTCGCCATATAATATAATTTAATGCATCAACTTGCTAGTGCCCACAGAGCAAGCAACGTCTGTGGACGTCCAAGTCTAGTTGATATCACATCCACAGACGTGATATCATTTCACATGGTGAAATGAACGAGTTTCGCGGCAGAGAATGTGTTATTTAGAGCCTCATTGTCGGTGCCCCGATCATTCCCACTATATGGATGTACGCAGCTCTCGCGGATCTAAATATCTTCCGAAGGACTCCAAACTTATCTGGGTGAGTAAACAACCGTATTTAATGCCAGAAATAAGGTCCATGTTGTAAAAAACGGACCTTCCCCTTTAACTTTATTTATCCTGATTTTAGTGCTTCATAAATAAGCTTTATTATTAGGTTTATATTGCTATTTCAGGGACAAAGATGACAAAAAACATTAAATACTTCTACATTGTTAAATGCAGAATACAATAGGGCAATGAGGAGCAATATGGGGCACGGTATTTTTTCAGTTAAGACACTGTGGTTGTGTCTGGTTGCTATGATACGGAATATCTGCTGGAATAAAAATGTCAACACAAGGTAGAGTACATACAAGCCCTTGAACTGGATGAAGAGAAAAGCTGAAGGACATAGGGCTAGAAGATGGACTTGACGCTCTGTGTGGATTCAGTATCAATTTTCCCTCCATTGTTCGGCTATGTGATGGCACTTTATTAAACTTGTCCCGTCCCTCTTTCACTGTGATTGGACTGCAGAGTAAAAAGTGACAGTGACGAGCAGCTGCAGTGTTTTACCCAAAGCTGAATATTTTTAAACTCTTGGCGATTAGAAAAAACAGCAAACGTGTAGTACCTGGTGCAAAATACACTCTCAGCACCTCATCATGCTGCTGGCATTTGTAGCATACAGCAATACGTGGTGCTTCTTATGAAAAAGGACAAAAACATGAATGGCCTAAGTGGAGGCTGCTGGCCATCCCCTGCCGTTGGCTTTTCAGTCACGAAATTTGTAATATTGCAGTTATTGTGACAGCCCTATGTCCAAGCACATCTTCTTAACCGTTCAAACATCATCATGTCATCAAATATCATATTGTTGTCCAAAGAATCGATTTGATATTGTATCATGATGAAACTTGTGATTTACCCCCCATGTATTAATGTGACCAACTCACTCCAGTGCCAAACCCTCATAAAGATCTACTCCATGTCTTTGTGAAGGAGAAGGATCATGTCCATGAACACTGCTTGCCTGCAGGCCCCTAGAGGGCATAATCTTTCCACGTGTACAAGGGCAAAAAGCTTTTAAACACAGTTCAACCTGCAGCTGAAATCACAACAGCATGACAGCTGATCTGTGAGAGGCAGTTAGTCATTTTAATGGAAATTCAGTATATGTTGTAGCCTGCGGGAAGCTGATATAGCCACAGCTTTTTTAAATTCCCATATTCATGACAATAAATCTTTTCTCCAGCGCCACCCATGCTGTGACAGAATCAACACACCAGAAAATAATTACCCCCTGAGTCTGAGCCTGCATGCTACTATAGAGCTTGGTTGTTTTCGATGTAGCCAGCCACTAGTGGACTGTTCATGTACCTTGGCTCTTATTCCCATGACACCTACTGAGTCACTGGTCACTTTAACCTCAGCAGCATCACTCCGACTATGTGCGCCCTGCTGCTATCTCCATTTTATGCCATTTTATGGTCAAAAGCACGATAGGTGATCTGTTGCATTTGTTCACAGACTCTCCCAAATTAAATTTGCCCCATGCTTTGTAAATTAAGTGTCGAAGTCACAGGTAGCCTGTTTATCAGACAAAGTTTTAATAACCTGTCATGTCACAAGTTGAGAGACTCCGGGAGCGGCTATTTTGATGGCAGTGGCTTCAAACTTTAACAGCATTCGCAAACAACACCTGAGGTGTGAGTTACAAAAAAGGTGGTGCTGATATAAAGTCATGAGCTGGTTGGATGGGCTGTTGGTGTTAGAGCCATAGGAGACTGAAACCAGTTTATGATGACATGATTTCAGTTGAGTTGAGTTTTAGTTCCAGATTGTTATCCATCATTCTGCGAACAGGAACACAAATGAGTGTCACATTTTAACGGCAAAAAGAAAGGAATTAGCAGATTAACCGAAGCCAAAGCACACAATCTTTACTTCCAACTGAAAGATAAATGCAGCTGGTGTTCAAATGAGGAATTTAAAAAGGCATAAAGCAAGCTGAATGGGCTTTTAATAGCATCGATTTTGGACAGCCAGTTGCACCCATTGTTTCAGTTTGGCTGCTGTGAAGGAAATAAGAAGAGAGGCGAGCAGTCGATACCTGGCTGACAGTGTAAATTGCCTTGAGCCTCCAGCCATTCCAGGTCTCCATTGTGTCTGCACAATGCAAACTCCACACAGAAGGGCTCCCTCACCCTAGAGTTTGAACCCCCCACCCTAGGCTCAAACCAGGGACCCTTTGGCTATGAGGTGGCAACGCTAACCACTGAGGCCATCTTGACATACCACTGCACCTCAGTGTCTTCCTCAGCTCATTTGTCAGGGTCTTATATATCCATGACAAAAACACACAACAGTGTCCTGGCTGTGCGTCTCCTGTGCCACTGTCATGTAGCAGGTGCACTTCACACGCTTTTTTAAAAATCTGTTCATGGAGAATGCGTGCCCGATATGATTTTACACTGTGTCCTTACAGCAAGCAAGTGTTACTCTCTGTCCGCACTGACTCTGTTAAATATGCACTTCTGTTACATAATGTAAACAAACCACGTAAGCTACCTATCAGCTGTGTGCTCAACTGGAGTAGAGCTCTGATTCTCTGCCCGAGCCCGACTGAGAGAGGGAAAGTGATGAACAGCAGAGTAATGTAGTGAAGAACTGGAAAGGAGGAGGGAAAAGAGAGAGAGACAGAGCGGGGGACTTCCACTCTGCCTCCCCAGCAGTGGAAGAGATGTGCGTAACATGCAGCGAAGAGTGGTGATCATCATCTGTGTGCCACACCGCCATGGACTGTCATGCGCAGTAGACCAGTGGTTCCCAACTGGTGGGTTGTGGTCCAAAAGTGGGTCACGGGTCCATTCTGAATGGGCCGCAGGTGACTTTCAAACATATTAAGTTTTTAAAAAAACATGCTTTATTTTGAAGTATAGTGAATTTGCGGCACAGAGCTTTTATTTTTAAGTGCTGTTTCTTGCTGTAGAGTCAGTGACTAAAGACAGCTACTTGACAGAGGCAGCAAACCTGCTTGACAGCATGGCAAAATGCAAGTATGATGCTGGATATTTTAAACTGTGATGCACCAAGGGCCACAGCCCATTCTGCCAAACCTGTCGAACACGAGACGACAGATTGCTGAAATAAAAGAAGGAGGAGAAGAGGGAGGAAACACATTAGCTCTTAGCTTGTAATAAATGTCTTAGAAGGAAAAAATATAACTCTCTTACAGTAGAAATTTGGGTTTTTAATTTGGCTCTGACCCAAAACTTCTGCTGTGGGTCGGGCTCAGGTCGGACTTACACAGAAACTGTGCAGGTTCATGTAGGGTCGGTCACCACTTAAAGAATTGGTGGGTTCTTTCTATCTCTCTACCTTTGCACCTTTTATATGCACATTTTATATTGTGATATTTACTGGAAATGACACACAATATAACCAACAGCAAGTAGGCTGTTATTAGCAGTGCTCATTTACCAAATAAATTCTGCTTCCTTGGGTTCTCCCTCCAGCCAGCTGTCACCATATTTAGGTTTCTGCAGTTAAATGAGGAGTTATCGCATAGATTAAAAACAGAGATTGTGGACAGATTTCCATATCTCACTTAGAAACTTTCTTGAAAACAGCTTGTTAAGAGTGCAACATAAGAGATGTGTAATGAGAGATGTGTAAGATGTGTAATAACTCAAAATTAATTGAGGGCACTCTGAGCCCCACAACCATTTATGTCAGGTTCACAGAGAGAACAAGTTAGATATTAGACAAGACAGGCTGCTTTTACTGCTGAGTGTTATGATGGATAACCTCCTGTAATTGTATTCAGATTAACCCTTAAGGTTAAAATGCCCCGGGAAACCCATTCATTTGAACGATGTCAGTGTGTCCTCTGGGGACCTTACCCTGCATCCCTGTGGGGCCGAAGCCTTGGCGAGTGAGGAAGATTGCGTGGTCGTGGTGCTCTGCGTGATCGGGATCACCTTTCTGCTGCACAAATGCCCAGCGGCACACATTCTCCAGGCTCCGTGATGGGTTTCCTCTTTCAATGAGACTGATGGACTGACAGGAGCAAAAGAGGGAGAGAAATGTTTACCACTGAACCATGACTGTGTGAATGAACGGCTAGATTACTGAACAGCAAACACTTTAAAAACTTTCCTGTGTTTAAGGACACACGGAACATGCATATTTTATGTTTTAATGTCATAAACTGCAAGCACTTTTCATGGTTAAAAGTGCTGTAGGATTCTTCATTATTGTTGCCTTTCATTTATTCTTACGCCGATCAGCCAAAACATTAAAACCACTGACAGATGATGAAAACAAAACTGATCATCTCATTACAACACAATGTTATGCTGGAAATCCTTGGGTCCTGTCATTCATGTTGGTGCTCCTGACACACTCCATCCACCCACGCACCGCTGCAGACCAAGTACCCCCCTTCATGGCAACGACTCTCCTCAGTGGCAGTGGCCAGTGGCGGGGGGGGGGGGGGGGGGGGGGGTGAATGACAGGCCCAAGGTGCCCCAGTAAAGCTGCGTGGATCTGTCCTCTGCCCCGCCCACCGCCGCTGCTTGCAGTGGTTTTAATGTTTTGGTTTATCTGTGTGTAGTTTTAAGTACTTAAGTTAAGAGAGCCCGGAGCAGATGCATTACATTGGATTTCAATGTACATCGTACTTTTTAATGTTTATGACAATAAACTAAACTTCAACTTGAACACATTAGTTTTCTTTCAGCAGTCCAAAAGAGCACAGATTGTAAATCCTGATGGGTATGAGTAGCATGCAGTGTAAGCAGATTAAACATGGAGGCTCTGTGGTGTTAATAAATGCATAGCAATTGGTTTTCCTCTTTTCAGTCTAAATACAGAAAAGGCCAAATGAACATACATAATGTGTTGTTACAGAGTGTGTGAAAGACAGCAGAGCTGACCCCTGACATCTGCATACATTTACTTCCCTACTTAGCATCTTTGCTCCATTAATAATGGCTTGTTATTTTCTGAAGCAATTATACACATACAAAACAGCATGAGAACAAAAAGCATCACTGCTAAGAGAATGATGACATGTTTGGACTGAATACTGTGTGTTTGTATCTGGTATTAGCGTGAATTTGCATAAAAAACGACAGCAGATTATTAACAGCAAGAGCCAGACTATAAGAGCATAAAAGCATTTAAGACAGATAAAATATGAGTTTGAAAACAGACAGTGTATTGCTCTGTAGAAGTAATGGTTGTGTTTGTGCACTCCTGAGATGAAACTTTAGACTTTATCCAACTGAAGCAGAACTTTTTATGACTTTCTTTTCCTCACTGTTTGCTTTAACAGCCAGCAATGATGGGTTGCTGCTTCACCTGTGGGTTTGTTTCTCCACAGCAAACACAACAAATTGTGCACAGACTAAAAACTGTGGAGAGGGGAGTTTGAGCATTTGTGCTGCCCTCCTGCAGCAACATCTCCAAAATCATACAAAATGTTTGTCTGCTCTTTGCCAGGGTGTCTGTAACATTTTGGCCAATGTTTAAGGTGATTTGTGCAGCTAGAGTTCAGGGGCCATATTCACAAAGCTTCCTAGTGCTAAGAGTTGCTCCTTGTGATGAAAAGTCTAAGAAATTTCTTAGAATTGTGATGTTTTCTTAGAATTTCCCCTTAAAGTTAAGACTAGACTAAGATAAAAGTTATTCACAGAGCATCTTAGACCTTGAAAGAGCTCCTAAGGTGAAAGACTGTTAGGAGAAGAGAAGAGAACTTTTAAGGGGTTTGAGAGTTTCTTAAGCTGAGGAGAAAATGGTGGAAACACAAAGACGAAAGAGAAATATTCTCCAAATGCTGGATGAAAGTGAGTTAATGAAATGCAACAGATGAGACTGTACAGGGATAATATCTGTGGTTGATCTCATCCAATGCTATAACACCAGAAATAAAGTGATCACAACACTAAGATATTTGGAAAACTGGAAAAATGTATCAGCGCAGCAGTGATGACTTGGGTCTATCTAAATCCTCCATCAGCAGAGTGATCACACTAACAATGACAACACTTTCACATTCAGCATTTCATTTCATAAAGGATCACAAAAAGGTGTGTCTCTGATAACCAATCATATCTGTTAAAAACAAGCATCACACCTCGCAGCGGGGTCAACCATACCCTTTCACTTAGATAAAACTTTCTGTCTCTTCCTTGCTCAGAGTTGCTCTGAGAACTTTCCGAAATCACTCCTAAGCTAGGAGTCCTTACTGAAAGTCTTAAGGCTAAGTAAAAATTAAAACTAGAATTACCGCAACATGGTTTCATGCCTCCACTAACCAGTCAAGTTGCAGTTACAGTTAACATCCATGTCTGCCCAGAGTCATACGTAGCCTCAACAGCTGACGATGTTTCCAGTATGGATGTTGCTGCAAGAAACTACAAATTCTAAAACCTGGCTGCTTCACACACATCCTCCCCCCAGCATCACAGAAGATCTATACAATCAGCAAAAAGGGCACGCCAAGATTAGAGTTACCAATTCAGTATATGACCAAATCTCTCCCCTTGGTCAGAAAAGTGTTTTTGCAGAATATCATAATGTCACAGTGAAGCTGACCTTTGGTCTTTTGGATATAAAATCTCATCACTTCATCATTTTATTCTACTAGATATTTATGTGAAATTCTGTCATAATTAGTCTATGAATTCATGAGTTATGGCTTGAACCATGTCTTGTGAGGTCACAGTGACCTTGACCTTTGAACACAAATTTTAATCAGTTCATCGATGAGTTCAAGTGGATGTTTGTGCCAAATTTGAGAAAATTACCTCATGCCCTTCTTGAGATATCATGTTCACGAGAATGAGAAGGACACAAGGGCCTCTAGTTTCCTGGCGCGGTGCAGGGTGGCGAACCCCGCGCAGAGCTAGTTTCGAGCAGTGCAACCCGAGGCGCACTCAGTTTGGTAGTTTGGCAGACCGAGGTGCGCTGAGATGGTTGTGGTGGTGCAGCAGGGGGAGGTGTCGACAGATGCAGCTTGGCGCAGTGACAGTGCGCTAAAAGCTAAAAGGTGCGCTAAAAGCTCGCCAGCTGAAACCAGGTCTACTGTCAGCGCAGGCGGAGCGCAGTGTAAGTGGAAGTTTGGCTGACTGGCGGACAGTGCGCACACGTCACCAAAACCTCACAGGCAGGTTTCTAGAATGTCAGGCACATTAACAATGCAATAAATAGCCACAAAAATCACTATTCAATGCAACTATCTGCAATCAGCACATGAATGTATCTCTGTATCGACTGTCCCGTCACATCTGATGTCAGATCAAAGGGGACTGGCACCGTTTGGCACGTTTGAAACCCGTGGAGGTCTGCTCACAGTTCCGTATATTCGGACACTGCGAGCTTGGACCTCCCGGACCAAAACATAAGTTTCCTCCTGGGACAAGTTTGGCCGTCTGACGCTGCTGCTCTCTTCTGCCATGGCGAATTGAGTAAACTCTCATTACGCCTTCACGTGGCGCATTTAAGGGCGAGGAGAGGGGCTCATTTGATTGGTGTGGTGTGAATCGGCTGTGTAAAACCCACTCCACACCTTCTCTCCTCCCTCTTTCCGACTTGCGCAGGTAGGAGGGACGGAGGTGGGAAAGAGGAGTAGCTGCGCCAGCACGCACTGTGTGCCAAACTTGCAAAATCCGCCTGGCCACACCCAGTTGGCGAAGTGCAGGTGCGCTGCGCCTCCACCTCGCCCGGTCTGCGAAACTAGAGACCAAGGTCACAGTGTCCTTGACCTTTGACCACCAAATTTAAATCACTTTATCATCAAGTCCAAGTAGGCATTGGTGCCAAATGTGGAGAAATTCCCTCAAGGCCTCCTTGATATCACGTCCAGGAGAATCAGATGGACGGACAACACAAAAACATGCCTCCAACCGCAGCTATCGCCAGTGTGGAGGCATAAAAAGCAATAATTTACTTTGGTGACGTCAATGCAGGACAAGTAATTGAATTTCATTCATTCAAAAATAAAAAAAGGTTTTCTCCTGTGTTAACTTCATGAATGGGCAGTAGCTGACTCCCTGCACGACACAGGGGTGTATCATTTAAGCCTTTTATCAAGCAAAATGTAAAACATCTACTGCATCCAATTTTTTTTATTATTATGAATTAAAAAACAAATCCAATGCCACCCTTGTTCCGGCACCAGCACTTACTTTCAAATAAATATTCAGTTTCAAGTGGCAACACCAGCACAGCTCCACAGCGGCAACTTTAGAAAATATTTCCATGAATAAAAACCTTAACTGAATCTGTGTTTTTTTCTAAAACTTGTACTTCAAACAAGCAAAATAATATTGGTCACCATCACCCACTGCCCACTGACTGCTGCGATGCAAATTTACATCACACATACACTGTTCATCAACAATGTTGTAACATGTGTAACAAGTTGGTAAACAGTGCTGTTAGTGCAACAGTCACGCATACACACTTTTAATCTCACTGCGCTTGTCTCAAGTGTGTGGGTGTGTGCATGGCTCTGCACACCCCGCCTGTCTTTGTGTGTGTGTGACATATTAATCTCCTGAATGCTGGGTCATTAAAATAATGAATATGATGTTGATTTAGACACGCACAGGATGCGTTTTCATTGTGGACTGGATGTTTGTTGTTCTCTATTGTTTCATCTGTGGGTTGGCTTCACTTTTGAGGAGCTGTCATGTCTGTCATTATATAGAGTCTATGGTACTGATGGACAAAAACTTGTGCTGTAACGTGTGCCCTCCCCCTGCTGTATTATGGCTGAGACTCCAGTTTCTTTGTGATGTGTTCTAACTCAATGTGGAAGACTGTTTTTCTGTCTCTCAGCTACAGTACAGTCTTTTCCCACATGCCGATCATCTTGCACTCATTTTCAAACTTTTCTGTTTTCCAAAGCCAACATAAATCAGAAGGAAATGGAGTGTGAAACTCACCTTGGCGTACCCCAGCATGATCATCCTCACCAGGACCACGTTGATGTGTACTCCCAGTGACTCGTCGTGGTAAATCTCATTCACCTGAAAAGCAGGGGAAAGATGAAATCAATCAGAGTTGCACAGCTAACACGAATCACAGTTCTTTGAAGGTGTCTGACACATCATGTTATGTTGTTCCCAGGCTTCTATTTTCCCCTCAGAAGAAGTCAGTGAGAGAAACAAACCATTCTTTACAAATTTCTCCATAAATGACTTTAATCACAGACCTGTGCAACCACTATTTTGTGGCTTTTTGAAAGAGCCACTGAATGCCGCGAGGAGTTGTGTCCTATCATTATGTTCTTGTTACCCAGAAGACACAAACTCACACCAGTAAAATGGTAAAAAGGGGTCTTAATTGGCATCTTAATAACGGTGCCTGCCAATTTTGTGCACTTGCAAGTCTTGCCAGAAAAGAAGCTTTTGATTTGATATACATGCGTGTGTGTTTTAAGATTCAGACATTCACAAAAACTAAAGTGCATGATGTAAACACATTGTAGTTACAACAAGGGAGGATATGTCTATGTTCAAACCCAGAGAAATATGGAAATGTAAACAAGGACATCGTCCATGTTGTTTATTTGCTGTCATATAACCATTGCACATGCATCAGGGTTGTGAAACCAGGTGAAAGTTTTAAGTCATCGGACATCTAAGTTTTATTTTTTGTTGTTTTGCCTTTATTGGATAGGACAGTCTAAGCATGAAAAGGAGAAAGAGGGGATGACATGCACATGGACCCGTGGCCACTGCGGCAGGACTGCCTTTGTAAATGGGACGCCTGCTCTACCCACTAAGCCAACAGGCACCCAATCTTATTGTCAGAGAAACAAGATGAGCTAACGTTAGCAGCAGCTCAGCTCACAGTTGGGAGAAATTTTCCTATACCTTGGTTCAGGTGGGAACTGCGCATTGGTCCAACAGCCCATTGGTTCGACATCCCATCGTTCCGACCATATTAAACTCATAGTTCCGAAGTCCATTCCGAAATCATCATGATGCCCTGTGGTTAACGTCTGGTTAGGTTTAGGCACAAAAACCACTTGGTTAGGGTCAGGAAAAGACCATGGTGTGGGTTAAAATGAAAAAGAAAGTGACAAACACATAAGCCGTGAGCCTGCACTGCCTCAAGCCTTCCAAGCTGACCCAGAGCCGGTCGCTGCGCACCATACGCCCGCCGCGAGCCGTTCAGCACCGCGGACAGTCAGACTAATGGGATGTCGAACCAATGGGCTGTCAGACCAATGACATGGACCAGGTTCAGGTTGGGAAAAATGCGTGGTTTCAGTTATAATTAATAGATTTCTGTCAGAAAAGGCTTTCTTGGAAAGTGAGAACTTCTCGTGTGCACTTGGCTCCAGCCTCTGCCATGTCAGCAAAACGCTGATATTTAACATGAAACTGATACATTTAGTTTTTTACTGGTTTAAATTCAAAGTCTGTTTGTTTTGGAGAGGAAGAGACCTTTGCAAATAATTCGGCTCCTGGTAAAAACCTCCTGAATGTCTGGATTGTAAGTTATCAGAGAAAAAAGGTAAGCACATATTAGCAGGAGCTTGGCTAACAGCCTCTCACAGATGAGCTGAACAGCATCGGAGAAACACAATTTTTTCACATGAAACTGCTTTCTTCAGTGTTTATACCAGATTTAATCACCTGGTCCATTTGTCTTATAGAGGAAGATCCTCTGCGGATAATTCAGCTTCCTGTAAAAACCTCCTTAACGATGAACACTGAGGGAATCCTAACTGACTGCAATGACGGCTTGCTCTGTCTTTTATTTATTTATATGAGAGTTAATAGCAGAAAATGACATATTGTTCATTTGAATTTCAATTGGACTGCCACTCTCTGCCATGGAGAAACGCCAGCGACAAACCGGTCTTCAGATGAGGTTTGTCAACAGAAAACACAAGACCACGCTGCTGAAACAAGGAAGGATCAAACGTCTTCATTAACTACTACTACTACCTAACAGAACACAATGCCGACATTACCAGAAGAGCACATTATCTGAAGAAACAGAGAAAAATTCTAAACAACTGAGCTTCAATCTGCAAGATATACATTAAACTAAAGGGAACACCAGAGGAGGTCAAAGTACTGGTAATCAGAAATAACGAGGAACTGGACAAATACCAATGAATGGCACACACTGAACCGTGACATTGTGACAGTTGCTTTCATTATTTGTAAATAATACTTTTTTCTGTCTGTCTGCTTGTTTGTATGTTCGTGTCTTCTTTTTTTCTTACACATTTGAAATAAACATCAAATATCACCTGCAAAATGAGACTGAAAAACAGATGCATAGAGGAACACAGAGAGCAAGAAAAAAGCATGTTTAGTATTCAGACTGGTGTCGCTGCCTGCAGCCTCAGAGGTAATGTAAACTGGCCGACTCAGTGAGCCTGGCCAGTGAAGGACTCTCCGCAGATAGGCAGACGAACTTTTTTCAATCAGCTTATATATGAGGGGAAAGGTAAAGTCTTTTTTTTTTTAAGCCGTGGCCCCGTTTTTAGGCAGTCATCACACTGATTCACCTTGTTTCCTCAACACTTTTATCTTCCACAGACCTCTTGTGTGTTTTTAATCAGCCGCAGGGATCAAATTTCCCCTTCAGGGATCAGCGTCGCTCACTATATCTGTGAGTATCTGGGACATATTAAATCCACTGATGGATTTTTCTGTTTAAATTACTTCATGTGCATGTTCACTTATCTGCCCTCAAGATGTAGAGTGTATGAGCACTCTTTTCATTTTCACTTTTCAGTTAAACGTCATATGAAGTCCCTGTCAGACAATATCCAATGTATTATAATAGAACAGCAATAATGGAAATTATATTATATTATCTTCTTTTCTATTATAGTCCATTATATTATATTATAATCTTACCAGCAATGAAGATTCTGCTGGGAGAACAAACCTTGCCCCCAACATTCACATGCATGAACACTCATGTCAGACAAAAATAGTGAGATGTTCATAGAAATACAACTGACAGTTTTAGTTTGTCAAGGCCACCATGTACAGCTTCATGAATGTGACTCCATGTTAGTCTGCTGGTGGCAAATCAGACAATAAATGAGGTATGGTGAAGGATGAATAAAATGTAAAGAACCATTGAGGTGAGTTTGTTACTGTGCGCTGTGTTATTTAATAGGCCTGTGAAATTTTTGATCATTCTATCTATTATTAGTGAGAATAATTTGGACATTGATTTAATATTTTGAAACTTGTGATGCCGTATCTCACATTTCTAGAAGAGCAGTAAAATGTGATTGTTTAGTTAAAAAGGCGGCCGGCTACGTTACAGGTGACGGAAACTGAAACAGAAAGTTACATCACATTACACATTACATTTCTGTTTGTATATAGACACAACATGTTAGTTTCAGAGCTTGAGAGTAACTGGTAGATGTAATTTTGAATTCTGGACACAGCTTGGTGCTAAGCTAGGCTAACTGCCTCCAACTCCATACCAAGCTGCAACCTCCAGGGCTGAAAAATAAAGTTAACGCAGAAGTGCCTAAAAGTGTAGTTCCCCTAATGGCCACTTGAGGCTGGCTCCAAGTGTGAGTCAATCCTTGTCGACCCCCTATGTTAAAATGCTCAACTTTATGTAAACAATTGTTTACAGCCTGGTACAAAAAACAGTTTTGTCTTTATAGCTCCCCTGTCATGACTACTGTACAGAGGGGAATGATTTTTTTTATAACTTACCCCTTTCATTTTAATGAGGCTTAAAGTTATGCGTAACTAAGGGCATGACCGCGTTGAGTGTGAGGCGGGTGCAAGCTGTTGACAAGTTGCTACAACAGAGACAACACAGGTTAGGTAATGTAATGCTGAAGTTCCTCTAATGGCCACTTGGGGCTGACTCCAAGGGCGAGTCAATCCCCATAAACTCTGATGTTAAAATGGCCAACCTGGTACAAAGAAGCAGTTTTGTCTCTACAGCTCCTGTGTCACGACAACTTTATGGACCCTTTTCATTTTAATAAGGCTTAAAGTTATGCATAACTAAGGGCATGACCGCGTTGAGTGTGAGGCGGGTGCAAGCTGTTGACAAGTTGCTACAATGGAGACAACACAGGTTAGGTAATGTAATGCCATAACCCCAGAGTCACAGATAATTGGCGATAACAATAGCTGTATCATTGCAGATCTTAAAGTTTGTTGTAATATTTAGCATTAGCCTTATCACAGTTAACCGTAGCTGTAAATGCCATGTGCTAACCAAGCTAGCAGCTAGCGTTAGGGTTATCTTCACCCTCTCATCCAAATATGGTCACTTCTGGCTCCAAAAATCCAAGATGGCGATGGCCAAAATGCCAGTCTTCCAGGTTCAAACAAGAACCTACAAACCAATTGGTGACATCATGGTGGTTATGTCCTCTATTTCATACTGTCTATAGATACATACTGACCGAACAGACATCAGAGTGGTATTGATCTTCTCATCGAACTCTCTGAAAGAGAGCAAACAAGCTTACATCCCAAAATGTGGACTATTCCTTTAATAAAGCATCAGACTACCAGCACACCACCCATGTTTGGACTTCTGATTTAATTTTGCCTCTACAATAATTTACACCATATTGTAAAATTTTCACAGACATCACCACTGTAAACAAAGAAAACACGCACTTTGACAGCTGACCTTTAAAAGGCTCAGTGTGATGTGTGTATGGTCGCCCCTCACCCTGTCTTTATCACTGTTGTGTTGCGACTGACTGATCAGCTGTCAGTGAGCACCACAAATCAGTGAACAACGTCAGCCTCATGTCCAGCTCTCTGACACTGCGTAAGAGAAGACCTTATTAGCATACCAGGAGCATTTGGGCTGAAGCGACAGGCGGCGTCACAGTGGGTTTCATTTGCTTTTGGACCAGTGATTTCTCATCGAGATTATCTGCCTCACTACACAATATGTCAGTGTTTACCGCAGAGGGTAGAGGAGGTGGATGAAAATATTCCAGCAGAATATTATCAGAATGCTAAACTGTACTTGGAGCACCATTATCGACTTCTTG